TCGGTTGGAAGCGTAAGGATCTCAGTTCACGTTTGATAGCCCAGTTACCTGGGGACCGCTAGAGGCTGATGCTTCTGACGGAATACTAGGCGTGATCTACTCGCTATTAAACAACTAAATGGTGCTGCTTTCGTTGGTTCGACCAATGACAGCCAAAGAGACAAACTTTCGTTATCCTGCAACTTTATTCTTGTAACATAACCCACATTTTTTATTAATTGGACTTCATCTTCGGCCGAAGGTTGTGTAAATATCTGAACAGACCATAAGAGTAAATTTTCCATTGGAAAGCTTGTCAGTCCTTTTTTTTATTACACTTGCTTCCTGCCCAAAGGATTAACCCTCCTTCCAATGAATAAATAATAAACTAGAAGAATACCGGCCACCAGGCGGCCGGCGCATAGGCCACATAGGGTGTCCCAGAAGTCGACGTCAAGCCGAAACCGGGTGATAGTCAAAGTCATAACATCTATCAGAAAAATATTTAAAAAAATTTTATGTATGTGTTTTGAAAATTATAGGTCTTTGAAAAAAATATAGAAATTTCACACTCTACGGCAGTCTGTCAACTCCTGTTACTACAAATATTAACTTTTTTTGGATTTTATTTTTACAATGTAATGATGCATAATGCATCTTCAAACTGGTGTCTCAACCTTACTGCCAACTTTTCTCGTTCAGGAAGAATTTCCACTTATTCCCCAACCAAGTATTCCAAAGTAAAACTTTGCTCAACTTTAACTGGCTGTACTGGGAAAAAGTGTACTACGAGAGCTTGGCAAGTAACCTTAAAAGTTGGCGCATTTAATAACGATTCCAAAATGGTATAACACTTAGAAGATTACTCGTTAACTTATGCACAATTTTTATTGGAGAAAAAACTGATGAAAATTTTTCAAAATTTCCTAATTAAACAGCGATTATGAAAACGCACAAGGACCCTTAAGGATAGCTGTTTGCACAACAGTGGGCGTCAAAATGCTGTTGATGATGATTTACCTTTACAGCAAATGCTCAAACTGTATTCCTTCAGCCGCAATACACGCTCGACATCTTCTTAAAAAAGATCGGGTTATTAAATGAGCGAATCCACGGTTATTAACAAACTCAGCTGCTTCCAATAGTCTCTACCGTAGCTCAGCTACATTTTGAATCGGCTTGAAATACACTTTTTCTTTTACAGTTCCCCAGTAAAAAAATCTAACGGATTCAAGTCTGGTGACCGGGCTGGCCACGGTATTGTACCAGACCGCCCTATCCATCTGCCTGGAAAGTTTTGATCGAGATACTCTCTCACTGAGAGTGCATAGTGCGCTGGGCAGCCATCATGCTGAAACCACATGTCCATGTAAATACTCAGTGGCACGTTCTCCAATAAATTTTCCAAATGATTTTGCAAAAAACCTAAATAAACCTCAGCAGTCAAAGTCTCTGGGAACTCAGCCGGACCGATTATTTTACCATTTAAAATTCCTGTCCAATGGTTTATCTTGAAGCGATATTGAGATTTATCTTCTCTCATCAAATGTGGGTTTGCTACGTGCCAAACTCTGGTAGTACATTTTTTTCCAGTACAGCCAGTTAAAGTTGAGCAAAGTTTTACTTTGGAATACTTGGTTGGGAAATAAGTGGCAATTTTTCCTGAACGAGAAAAGTTGGCAGTAAGGTTGAGACACCAGTTTGAAGATGCATTATTCATCATTACATTGTTTAAATAAAATCCGAAAAAAGTTAATATTTGTAGTAACAGGAGTTGACAGACTGCCGTAGGGTATGAAATTTCTATATTTTTTTCAAAGACCTATAATTTTCAAAACACATACATACAATTTTTTTAAATATTTTTCTGATAGCTGTTATGACTTTGCCTATCACCCGGTTTCGGCTTGACGTCGACTTCTGGGACACCCTGTATAACAAGCCCGTATGCACCACTACATTCTCGAATCCTCAAGTTCTGCCCTTCTAGGCAAAGCTGAGCATATCCTTGAGTCCTCCTTAACATTCTGGGGATCCAAAGTGTGGACCCCAGTATATGTAGTCTACCTGAAGTAGCTCAGAGCCCCGCCGCGACACAGAACATGCTCAGAGGTCTCTTTTCCTACCCCGCAGTGCAGGTGGTGCCTCATCGTGTTATCGGCCAGACAACAGTCACACTGACAACTTTAAGCTGCCTCTATCCAAAGATACTCAAAACCGTCCCCATTCGCAGCACTAGTTCCTAAGATGAGCTGTCGTGCTTGACGGAGATGTCTAGAGATGCTTCTCCATTTTAGAGTCTGTCAAGATATCCCCTTCTCCGGTATCCTTCCAACGCTTTGCGCGTGCACCCCTAGGGCTAGCTCAGGTCCAACAACCTGCCTCCGTTGGTTGTCACAGAATATACTGTGCCGATCATTGCCAATAATCATGAAACTGTTGGTTGGATGGACGGAAGCTGTTGGTTGGATGGACGGAAGCTGTATTATTGTGTGTCCAATTTTTGAATTACCCCACCTGAATACGTGTGTACCTGCTCTGGTGTGCTGGCTGTCTACTCCGCTCAGTTCTCATTTCCAGTTCGTATGTCACGTCGCCAGATCCTAAAATTTTCTGTCTAGCGTAGCGGCCTTCTCATAAATTTTAATAATCAGCTTACCTGGAATAGACACATAGGCGCCCCACCAAGGTGTACGCCTCTCTGAAAAATTGATTAAGGTTCATGTTCCTATGTAAGGATGTTAAAGTCCATTCCTCAACAGGTTTTTCGATGGGTCAATATTTATGACCTGTATCAGAGTCGCTTGGCTTAGCGTAAAGCCATGGCAAGGTCAGTAACAGGATAGTAAGTTGGGCTATCAAAAAAATATATTGTCTAGGAGGTTGATTCTCTACTTCTGGATGGATGGATTCAAGAAACTTAAATTTCCGTGAAGGGGACTATAATTCTCCCATTTATTATTTATTAAAATAATATTTTATGTTTTTCGAATGTTATATAATAATAATGATAATAATAGTCGCCATCATTAGGGGCCAAGTTTAGCATAGTGCTATTCTGCCACTTGACCCTAAAAAAAGTACAACAGTACAACAAAGAACAAAACATAGAATTTCAATGTTTAAAGAATTAAATTTTACGATGTGAAGTGAAAGGTTCAAAAACAACTAATTTAAGTATATTTTTTTATTATATTATCCAAAATAAATATTTTAATGTATTGGCTGTGAGTAAAAGCTCATGGGTGTAAGTGACGAAGTGTAACCCATATAGTTCTATTACTCTCAACCATTTCACGTCTCTTAAATAAGAGCTGATATGAACATATTTTCTCACGTTTTTGATCAATCTGCAAAAGGAATTTTCAATTTTTCGGACAAGGAGACGTAGAAGCTTTGCAGCGCTTAAAAATCGGTTCAGTGGCGGCATAGAAAAAGCCAAAAATGAAGAAAATAAAAATCGCATTGTCAGAAAAAATGTAGGAACTGAAATTCGGAGATTAGGTGATGTAGGGGATGGAGAAGGTACATTTCATTTTATTGGCGGCAGTATACTAAGTGACATATAAATCCGAACACCCAGTTTAAATGGTGTTATTTAATAAAAGTTGGTGAATGTATTTATCTACTGTAAATAACAAGTGAAAAAATTTTTCAGCCTTCTCCGTTGGACATTCCGGTTTTTATACTGCTTTTTTTAATATCACTAACGCTCCAAAAATGAATATTTCAGCGGCAGTAAAGAATCAACGTTGGCGGATTTTGGTTCTTGACATCCTTTACGATCGGTTACGATGCCTAGATTACGGAGACCTGTACGATTTCGTCAACTTAGTGAGTTTGATAGGAGCCGTATAGTGGGACTTCGGGAAGCTGGACTTTCTTTTCGTGAAATTGCAGTTAGAGTGCAAAGAAGTGTAGACACTGTGGTTAGGTGTTGTCAGGCATGGCTTCGAGAAGGCCGTACGCAAAGAGCAAGGGGCACTGGACGCCGCCGTAGAACAACAGACCGTGAAGATCGCCGCCTAAGATTATTGGCCTTAAGGGACCGTTTCTCCACTACCATGCAAATGAATGGTTTGCAGAACACGGAAGACCTATTGGCATGCGAAGTGTTTACCGACGAATGAGAAGTTTTGGCTTGTTTTCATACCGGCCACACTGGGTCCTCCCTTTAACTCGAGAACACCGACGTAATCGCCTTGAGTGGTGCAGACAACGGTCACTCTGGGATCAGGAATGGAACAGTATTGTCTTTAGTGACGAGTCTCGATTTTGTTTATGCATGCACGATGGTCGTGCCAGGGTTAGAAGGCGACGTGGTGAAAGGAGGAATTCACAGTTTTTTGTTGAAAGACATGTTCATCACACTGTTGGAGTTATGGTTTGGGGTGCTATAGCTTATGGTTCCAGGTCACCTTTAATCTTCATCAGAGTTAACATGAACGCGCAGCGTTATATCCACGAAGTTCTAGAACCCCATCTTTTTACCCTATCTTGACACCCTGGCAGATCCAACTTTCCAACAAGATAATGCCCGACCACATGCTGCAAGAGTCACAATACTTATTATTTTACTTTCTTTAAGTACTTATACAAAATTTTTTAAAAAAAACCATTTAAACTGGGTGTTCGGATTTATATGTCACTTAGTATATTTATACGCTTCTACCTATCAGTACATATTTCACACATCATTTGTCCTGATAAATTAGAGAAATATTGATAGACGAGACACGCGCCCGGTCAGTAGGGGAGACCGCGGATTGTTAACTATAGGGGTAGGTAGACTAACCGCAAAAAAATCGACAACGATATGAGTATTACGTCATCCCGGCCCAGCCGCGCATTACTCTCCGACCCCCGCTCAGTCGTCCGGAGCGCCACCGTCGCGGACGCACGCCGTTTTCGAGCAGTTCAACATGATTTCCGGTCAACCAACCCCAATATAATTTGAAGTTTAAGATATCTCGTAAATTAACCTTTTATTCGTGTTTTAATATTCATTTCGTTACAGTACAATGAGGACCTATAAAAGAAGGACTGAACGAGCTGATACACCAAAAGATGTCCTAGAAACAGCTTGTCATCCAATAATTTTTGACACAAAATGTATCAATGCAACTTCAAGACAATATGACATTCCCTTTAAGACATTACATCGTTATGTGGCGAAACTAAAGGCGAAATTGGAACGTAATCCGAACTTGACGAGAGCAGAATTAACTTTGGACTCAGTGGGATATATTAAAGATAGGCAAGTTGTCACTGATGAAGAAGAAGAATCTTTAGCAAGTTATTTAAAGAAAGCCGCTGATATTTATTATGGATTGACACCATATGAGACCCGAAAATTAGCATGTCAGTTCGCCATAAAAAATAACAAAGCTATGTCTGATTCTTGGAGTACAAACTTGTTAGCTGGCGAAGATTCGTTAGGCTCGTTTCTCAAACGTTATCCTTTTTGATCCATAAGGAGACCTCAAGCAACAAGCCTTTCAAGAGCTACATCATTCGACAAAAATAACGTCAGTATGTTCTTCGCTAATTTAACTGCTGTTTACCAACGTTTGAATTTAAGCCCTGGTGATATCTGGAACGTTGATGAAACAGGTATGACAACCGTGCAAGTACCTAATAGAGTAATAGCACGACGTGATGTTAAAAATCTGGGCAAGATTACATCTGCTGAGAGGGGTACACTGGTGACAGTTGCAGTAGCTGTTTCAGCTGTAGGAAATATAGTTCAACAATTTTTCGTATTCCCACGCGTCCATTATAAGTCCCATTTTGTTAGAGGTGGCCCTATGGGATGTGAAGGTGATGCTAATCCGTCTGGCAGGATGAAAGAAGAGAACTTTATGAAGTACGCCAAACATTTCGTGAGACATGTTAAACCTAGTAAGAAAAACCTGTACTTTTGTTGTTCGATAACCATGACTCCCACTTATCAATTGGAGCGTTGGATTACTTTAAATCTAATGGGGTGACAGTTTTATCATTCCCTCCACATTGTAGCCACAAGCTAGAACCTCTTGACAGATCTGTGTACGGACCATTGAAAAAGTATTTCAACCGAGCATGTGACAACTGGCTGGCTAGTAACCCGGGAAAGACTATCACAATTTATGAAATACCAGAGCTGGTTAAAACGCCACTACTATTGGCTGCTACAATTGAAAATATTCAATCAGGATTCGGAGTATCCGAGATTTCACCATTGATTGAAAACATTTTTCCTAACTCCAAGTTTAGTGGTTCTTATGTGACAGATAGGCCGATGCTCCCCTGATGGTGATAATCCTTCAGCATGTGATTTGAGCACAGTGTCTGTTCCATCGACTTCCAATGCATCTAACACGTTGTCTATCGTCCAAGAGGTTCCAATTGCTCTGACACCGCAATATTTATCTGTAAATACAGACCAGATTACTACCACAACACCCTCTCCTAAAAGATCTTTGAGGACTGAATGTGACTCACCTTCTGTATTTGAAGAAACATTCAATTCTGTATTTGAACCGGAACTGAGAGAAAAACTCAAAGCTCCAGAAAACGTTCATTATACAGAAGCAAATGTGCCCCCATCTTTACACAATCTAAACCTTTCCACAACTTCATCAGCAACATTTGAAGAGCTAAGACCCTTTCCAAAAGCGGCGCCACTTTTAGAAAATAGAAGAAATATTCGGAAACGTAAAAGTACTATATATACCGACACCCAGGAAAAACTAAATCTTTTAGATATGAAAAACGAAAGAGAAACATATAAGAAGAAAAAAACAGATACAAAAGACAGAATAGGAAAAGGGAAAGGCAAAGGAAAACGAAAGGGTAAAGGAACGGATAAAGCTGATGAGATTGCTGATGACACCGCCGCTGAAAATGACGGTAGTGCCGTAGATTCAGATGACGAGAGTACGATTTGTTTAGAGTGCACTGAATCCTACGTCGATAGTGTTCCAGGCGAACAATGGATTCAGTGCTTAACATAAGTTATGGGCTCATACCAAATGTGTAAGAGGTGATCTATAATGTTTTTTGAATGCTTCTGATATTGAAGACTTATATTTATATTATAAGGAACTCTTTAATTAATGAAACTAATAAATGTTTAAATAAAAACTAGGAGTTGATAGTTTTGTTAAAGACTTACTGTAAGATAATGTCTGTAACTGATTAAAATTGTTTTTGAATAAAAAGTTTTGTTAAATTACAAAATGTTTCATAACTTGACTCTTCTCATAATTTGTCACTTATTGATACGTAAGTCTACTTACCCCGGGCATATAGTCCATCTACCCTGGAGCCGGGGTAAATTGACTAAGAATCGGAGTTCTGTAAAATGCGTTAAATTATGATCATACTGAATAATGGACTAGTTTTTATATTTTTTTTATAAGTTCAATAGTTCTTCTACCCACTGTGTGTATGAAAGCATAAAAAATATGTATGATGTTGTAAAAAACTAGTCAACCATCCCCGGTCTCCTCTACGATGGTCGATACCAAGAAACCAGCGTCAGCTTTATCAAGTGGATGGGAGTATGTACTAAGGGTATATGTATTTTGTGATACTTGCTTGCAGCAAGCTTATAGGGTCTAACTTAGGCCAAACCATATCCTTTATGAACTATGTAACAAAAAAAAAACCATGTCTATGGCCACCGCTCATTTGACAACGCTGGGATCTAGGAATTTATCTCCTGTCCTACCAAAAGTACCGACCATCTGGCAATGTTTCTCCTACTAACCTCGCCTCGCCGTTATATGACGTGTGAAATATGTCTAATAGGTTCAGGGTTGGAAGCGTATAAGTATAGCAACGCCAAAAAATTGAGTAATACTCTTCCCCACCCAGTACAACCATTAATTCGCAACTTTCAACCTCTACAAGAATATTTCAGAAAATTATTAAAAGCCCCTGAAACGCTAAAGTAGAACCAACTGTCGAAGGCTCGCCAATTACTGACGTGGGAAGTAAAACATTTTGGAAATAATAATAAGGCGGCAGCGTATTGGAGATGTTATGGGTCTCCCAATCAGTCGCCGCGCTCTGCACGAGTTTGAATCCCGTCTCAAGAGAATTTTTCTACTGGACTATGGATGTTGTGATTGTCCGTAGGTCGTAGAAGGTTTCTGGCTGTCGAACGCGGAGTTACCACCCGGCTGATCTCGTAGGCGGGGCCAGAATGTGTCCATATTGCATGCACACGTGTTCCTTCGCCAAAGTCCGTATGGCGCCCCCAGCCCCCTTCACCTGTGTCCCCCGCGGTAGCCATAGGTGGTCGCTCAAGTATAACAAATAATAATAATAAATTGTCTTTATTTAGAGGGCGAAGTTCAGCATAATAGGTTCTCTACCAATGAACCCAATTAAAAACTGAAAGGAGGTTCACTCTGCACTTTCCATGCAAACGTCATCATCAGTTCAAGAATGATTATGCTCAGCACAAGCTAGGTCAGTCGAAGAGGTCCATACTCTTAGTCCATAGACATTCTTTTGCTGCCCTAGCTGTAGTCCATCTGGCAACGTCGCATCTCCCCCATACCTAACCGGCACGGATATTATGTTAAAACCCTATAAAACGCCAAAAAAGCAATGAAACGTCATCTTGCAGGCTAGGTAGTTTTTACGGGTGCAAACAGTTCATTCCACGTTTGCTCGCTATGATCACTGTGAGCGTCCATCTATGGAGGAATGACATCAACTACATGCATTGTTGGTTGCAGAAAGCAAGTATATATTTGTGAAGCCGACTAGTTTGTAGTGTTTATCTCTGAGATGTTAAAGAAGAAGAAAGTTGGTTAAATAGCAAGATCGCATCTGGATGTTTATGTTGTATTGTCTGCATGTGTATAAAATCAGTGATATTTGCTGTGTGAGAAAATTATTACTAAATAACTGCCAATGAAGTATATCTGTTAGCTGTTACCCGATGGGTAATTTATATGTTGGCCTTTCTGAAGTTATAGTTATAAATTACGATTTTTCCCGTCAAAAAAAATTTAGATGTCACTTTTCAAGATACGTAATACCCGTGACGGTTACCAGTTAGATGCGGCAGTAATACCAGAACACTTAACGCGGACGATAGGTACGCTATCGGTCTGCTGAAAATGCTGTTCTAACGGCAAATGTATGGAAAATAGATTATGGTGTGAAATAGGTTCAATAGTAGAATACCAAGGTTGGGAGCGTATAAATTACCTACATAAAAAGATTTAGATAAACCTCTCCCCTAAAACTCCACCCTCAACATGATCAGAAGTGTAAAAAAACATGTTTGAGCAATTTTTGTTCCTTTAGTTTTTGGCCATTTTCTCATCCGCTACTGAATCGATTTTCAAAAGCTACAAACCTTTTGTATCCTTAGTATAGTAGTAAAACATTGTGTAAAATCACCGAAATCCCAGCGGTACTACTCAAGTTATAGGCCGTTATAAGATTAACGGACAGACAGACGGAAATGAGTGAGATAGTTTTTCGTGATGTGTCATATAACATTTATATGTATACATATAATATAATATATAATATATATACATATATACAGGGTGACTTTGAAGTTGAGTCATTAATTTTCAGAATGATTGTAGAAGGAAGATAAACCAAAATATGTGTGTAAAAATAAAAAAAAAATAAAAAAGTTTACCTTGTTTCATAAGTATCCTCCCGACAAGTATTTCAGTGCGGACCTGTATATATAATAATATATATACATATATACAGGGTGACTTTGAAGTTGAGTCATTAATTTTCAGATATGATTGTAGAAGGAAGATAAACCAAAATATGTGTGGTAAAAATAAAAAAAAAATAAAAAAATTTTACCTTGTTTCATAAAGTATCCTCCCGACAAGTATTTCAGTGCGGACCTGTATATGATCGTGAGGTCTTGGAGCACCGGCATGCCCTCCCCTGTGAGGTCTAAAGTCACCTGATTCACGAGCCCGTTGTACTACATTAACAAAGGTACGAGGGGTTGGTTGCACTCGATTTTGAAACCGATCCGCATAAACATGTGCTATTTTTTATTTCGTTTGAGCCACGCAGCAAACACCACTATTTACTCACGCGTTACCGACTGACACTGACTGAATAAAAACATCGTGATCAGCGTTTCAGATTCTTTCGCTTTTTTGTCACCCAGTATATATATATAATATGTCACTTCGAAAATCTTTGCTATTTCTCCCTGCAGACGTTCATCAGAAAATTTCTGACAAAAGAGCTGCAATTAAGCAAGCGAAGAGGTCTTGTCACCCAGATGACATTCACAGAGCAACGAATCTTTTTCATGAAGTGAGAAATGCTCTTCATGGATTCCGTAATAAGCCATGGAGCTACTTTCTGTCGGGGATGCTTGACTCAAGTATTCCTCTCTGGAAGTTGCAAAGTCGCTCAGAAATGGAAAGCGTGAACAACTCCCGCACATCCACGGTCCTAGGGGCATAGTCTGTAGGACAGAGGAAAAGGTCGAAGTTTTCGCTGATGCAATGGAAAGTCAGTTCTCTCCCATCTATGACCTTGACGAGGAGGGACATATTGTTAGATCCGTCAGGAGATATTTTAGGGCCAACGGCGTCAGTGGCAGTAGTGCCTCCCTTAGTGATTTTTCTTCAGCGGAATCTCCTGAGACTCCGCATTGCATACCAGCAGAGGTACAAGGTCATATTAAAGACCTCAAGGTGCGTAAAGCACCTGGAGAGGATCGAATCACTAATAAGGCGCTGAAGCTACTTTCGCGGAAGTCCTTAACTTATCTCGTGGCAATAATCAATGCCATGCTAAGGACCCAGCACTTCCCAACGGCGTGGAAGACCGCTGATATCATAATGATTCCAAAGAAGGTGGATTCGATATTCCCCCAGAATTACCGCCCCATTAGTCTACTGTCAGCTCCTTGACAGACTACTGACTTACAAGACTTCAACCAAGAGCAAAGGTCCTACGGACCGCTTTGACAGACAATGACGGATAGAGATCTTTGCTATTACAATACTCCCCCACCAGTAAGCGTGGGAAGTAAAATCGGGCTTGTTCCACTACTCTACTAGTCAGGCTACTTTCTTCGTGTTTGAGACTAAATGAAAGAAATTTCCCTTAGACACGTCACTGATTAAAAAGGTCACTCGGGCGTTGTCGGTAAGAAGTAAAGAACACCGTTTTCCTTTCATTCCCGCCAGCGCTCAAGCTCAACAGCAAGCACAGTTTTGTTTACAGTCTCAGCGCATTTAGATAGATTAAACTTGAGACAAACTTGTCTAATTATTTTCCACTGTTAAATCATAAAACCTCTTACGCCCAATTATGGAATTACGTGCAGTGAATGTTCCTGATTTTCCGAATTAAGCCTTTAACTTGGAATTAATGGGCCCGTTGCCTGGTTGGCTGCTTCGGAATATTTTTGTTTGTTTAATGAATCTGGCCCAATTAAAATGAGTTCAGGAAGGATATTCCTTGTAATAGGTCATGCAAATATACTAAGTGACGTATAAATCCGAACAACCAGTTTAAATGGTTTTATTTTAATAAAATTTGGATAAGTACTTAATGAAGCATAATAAGTAAATCATAAAAATTTCAAAATGATTGCACTGCTTTAAAGACCTTTGACCTTTAATAATGTGTGGATGCACCCTGATGTGCTACGCATTCTCCAACGCGCCTAGGCATGCTTCTGATCAGGTGGTCAATGTCCTCCTGTGGTATCTCATTCCAGGCAACCACAACTCCTCTCGAAGTGCTTCTAGAGTCGTTGCAAATTGAGCAATCTCCTACCCATCATATCCCACACGTGCTCAATTGGGGATAAGTCGGGAGATCTTGGTGGCCATGGTAACACTGTGACATCATTATGTTGAAAGAAGTGGATCTGCCAGGGTGTCAAGATAGGGTAAAAGATGGGGTTCTAGAACTTCGTGGATATAACGCTGCGCATCCGTGTTACCTGTGATGAAGATTAAAGGTGACCTGGAACCATAAGCTATAG